GTGTGTGTGTGTGTGTGTGAGTGTGTGTGTGTGTGTGTGCCCTAGCCGCCGTTTACATTCAATAAAAAAAGAATTCCTCATATTTAGTCGAGCCAGCCCGTTTCCATGGTTACCGGCCAGGGGTTTTTCATTCTTGATTCACTTCCTCACCCTGGGCGCTCTTTTTGTAGACCTCTCTTCTATTTTTTTCTTTCCCCCCTTTTTGCTCATATCGCTGCGTTTAACTCCAGTTTCTCCTCACGTGATTGTTGTGTTTTTTTTTTCAGATTTCTGCTCCTCCTGTTTCCTGCTAAGTGCCACCCCTGCGTTTATGCCGCCCACACAAAGCCTCGCGCTCTCTCAATGAAACCCAGACATGCACACTGTACTCGTGCTCCGAGTCTAAGAAAACAACTCCTGGCTGTAGCTAGGCAACTCCAAATATGAGTCATCCCACCGCCGCGCCCATCATCAACTGATCACCACCACCTCGTTCCTCCACAAGCCTCAGATCCTCTTTATGGAGCGTCGCTGTCAGTATTATTTAAATGGTGTGGCTTCCTCACCACACTTCTAACAAACACCGGTGGAAACACAGGTCTATAAAACTGTAAGAAAATTAGCAGGCAGACCTCAGCTGATAACATCTTGACCACATTGCGGCGACATTACTAATAATCACAGCTTGGCAGAGTCGCTATCTGTCAGACGGCTGAGTTGGCGGCAAAATCTTTGGGGGATCTCGTGTCCCGGCTGCAGTTCACAGACGACACCACAAAACAGTCTTTGTTCAGGGAGTCTCGGTTGTTTACTGAGTAGTTATTAGACAAAGTTCTGTCCAAGTGAACTCAGGATAACAGCTGGAAAAACACTGGGAATGTGGATTTAATTGAGGAAAGTGAAAAAGAAACTGAGCAATGAATGTGATTTATGTGCAGGACAAGATGATTTATTCTTTCAGTGCTACTTGCAGGATGATTTATTTCTAAGCGATGAAAAAGAGGGCAAAGGTCAAAAGACTTGACTGTCAAATAAATGCACAAATGTGTTTAACAAGGTAGTTAAAATAATTAGATAATAGATAGATAGATAGATAGATAGATAGATAGATAGATAGATAGATAGATAGATAGATAGATAGATAGATAGATAACAATGCAGTGCTGCCCTCTAGTGGACAGAGACGTACATTTATGCTACAGATATGTAAAAGTCTTGATGTACAGTAGCTGTGTGTTGTGCTATAATGACATGACAGCATCACAGCTATTATTTATTGTGACACACATCCACATTAATCTTCACTCAACCTAAGATTTCTTGTCTTAGAAGAAGGAGGAGGCCTCTTTAACCACATATAAATGGTTATTTCTGCCACACGTGTTGTCAGGTTTGAATCCCCAAGCAGAAAAGCAGAGACCCATAATGCAACACAAGCGCCCCTTGGACCATATGAGACTGACCTCTAAGCACAGATGTGGGCCAGTAGAACAAGACACACGTGGCCTGAGAAGAATTGATGGAGAGCCGCGGTAGCAGCATGAGAGGGTGGACGCAGCGTTGTTGTGGAGCAGAGGAGGACAGATGTGGTACATGTGGCAGCTGACAGGTAGCATCAGGAAGAAGGTGACAGAAAAGCACAAGGCGCTGCAGGAACAGCTGGAACAGATGTGGAAGGCGACGCCCTCGGTCCTAATAGGAGCATTAGGGGCTGTGAGAGTGCAGTCCAGGTCCAGAAACATCTGAGGTCCCCGTCCAGAAGAGGGCAGTTCTAGGAGCAGACTGTCCAGAAACCGCAAACTTCCAGGATATATGTTATAGCTGTATACATAAATACATACCTAAAAAAAAGGCTGTGATGAGACAGATAATATTAGGGAGGAAAAAAAGCTAAAACTGCATTCATTTATTATTATTATTATTATTAGTAGTAGTAGTAGCGTGGCTCAAACATCACATTTAGGAGAAGGAGGAGGCCTGTTGGTCGACTTTCACCACAAATAAATGATTATTTCTGTTTAGTTCTCAGACACACATGTTGTTGTCAGGTTTAAATACCTCCAGGGTCCAAATAATATACAGAAAAACACATGAAGTCTCCCAATCTGACATCCCACAGCATGCTCATTAAGTCATTATTATTATTATTATTATTATTATTATTATTATCAGCAGCAGCATCATTTGGAAAATAGGCAGCGGTGACCTACTGCGCATGCGCCACCCGGCTAATCAGGCCCAATTAGCGCGCAGGTGTGCTGCCAGGAAGTCTACAAAGACTGAGGCGGTGCTGGTTCGGTCCCAGTGTTTTGGTGCACACGGAGAAACTCGTATTGGAAATGCATTTAAGACACAACGGACACAGCTTCGGTGTTCTGCTCATTTACACCTTCGCCTCATTAAGTTTACGTCCAGCGGGCCGGTGTGAGGCCGCCGCTCGCTCCTCCCGAACCGAGCCTCATTCAGCTTCTAGTACCGACACGAGCCGCGTTTTGACGACCACCAGCCCCAGCCGGGAGGTCCTACAGCTGGGCTCCACGCCCGGAGAACCCTCTGAGGAGAACTGGGCCGAGACGACGGCCAACACCTCCGGAGCAAGACCCGAACAGAGGCTCAGACCCAGAATGGTTCCGTCTCCCAGCGAGACACGTCTGATGACCCGGTTCAGAGCGAGGCACGCTGACGGGATGTGGGGCTTCTCCTCACCCCCGGATGGGAACTGCAGCAAGGGCAGGATCAGGCAGGTGGTCCACGGAGAGTTCTACGTGGCGGGTCAGCTCGAACAGAACCTGCCGAACCAGGGCTACCAGGCGGACTCTGCTGGTTCAGGTAAGGAGAACTCCTCCTGTGATAGAGTTGAATGAACACAACATTGTCAACACTGAGTTTAGAGCTGGAAGCATGGAGACACACCTGGAAAAATAAAATCATCATAATAAATAATATATAATAAAATTTAAAAATGCTTTGAAAAATAGTCAGCAATTATCTGTAAAACTGTATTTTTAAAAAAAAATGTGTAAAAATGTAAAAAAATAAAATAAAAACAGTTAACCAAAAAAAAAAGCAAATTCTGATGATTATTTACAGTTTTTACCTTTTTTTTTCTTCCAGTCAACATGTAAATGACTCATTTTTACGAGTTAATATCTATTAAATTGTTCAGATAATAACAATAATAAATCCAGTGAGCCCAGTTTACCTGCTGGATGCTGCTGAAGTAAAAAGACCAAAACAGCAAAATGAAAATCCAATTTAAGTAAAAGTGAATAAACATTAGCCACAAAATGTAGAAGTGTTAAAGTAAAACGACTGTATTATTGTTATATCTGCCAACATTAGATGATTGGTGTAAATAATTAGTGTTGTATCTGCTTCTAGTTTAAACTTCATGTTGAGTTTTATATTCAGAGAGCAGATCAGTCAGAGGGATCCTCACAGGTGAAAAAAGTTCTGATACACTTTTCAGTAGTTATTTTTTCATCTTGAATTTGAGATATCGGCTCATTTGAACATTAATTTAAATGAAACCATCTGAGAAGTTTAGATGGAAAAATCACTATTTATTCTTATGAACAACTTAAGTGACCTGAACTGCACTGCTTTTTGTAAGAAAGGCTGAAACCAGCGGTTTAGTCTTTAGCAGCGTGTTGGATTTTAAACACTTGTTGTAAAATCTATTGTGTGAAATCATCATCTGAAAATAACTAAAGCTGTCGGATGCAGGCGGTGGAGTAGAAAGTATGATATCTCCTCCTGAACTGCAGTGAAAGTATAGTTGGATTACAGACAGCATCATTTATTGTGCCAAACCCTGTTTTTATTTGTTTTTTGTTAGCAGCTGTAGCTTTACATGTGCTTTATGAATAATGGTGGCATAACTTACTCTCAGTTTTAACACAAAGATTTCATCGTTACTGCAGTTGTATATTGTTTTTTGTCTCCTTGATGTCTAGCAATCAGTACCAGCCTGGATAAAAACCTCCATTCAACTCCTGATTTTTATATCAGACTGAAGTGTGTGTTTCAGAGTTTTTCCTCTTTTTAATAATTACCTCTTAAGTGACATAAGCAGGAAAGAGGCTTTGATTAAAGCGCTGACTTTGTTAACTCACAGAGACTTTGTTTTCTGGCCCAGTGTCCTATTTTTTCCTCTCTGAGCTACTTCCAGTCTCTGTATGATGGATTTGTTTTTCCTCGGTTTGATTCCTCCGCTGAGAGCCTCGTGTTCCTCAAAACATCCGTACGCTGTATCCTCCGAGGTGCTTCTGTTTTTGTTTACCAGTCCAGGCTCAGGGAGGCCAGGCCAGGGTCAGGGGTCAGCGGGTCAGCAGCTCTGTGGAGAGCTGGCAGAAGCTGCACCCGGTGGTGGAGTGTGGAGACGACGCCATGACCCTCACCGTCAGGAGGCGGCGGGCGGCGCTGCTGCTGCTGGACCGAGGTGAAGCCGCAAGTTCTCCAGTTATAAATACGCCGACTTTGTACAGCACTGCCCGCTTAATGTCAGAGAATAGAAGTCCCAAATCAACCTACAGTAAAACAGCCCGTTTATTCTCATAGAATAATGTCATAATCAGTTTCTGTCGTAACGAAATTCCCCAAAATTGGTTCCAAGAATAACTTTTGCCCGTTTAAAGTCAGCCGATTGTTACAGCTCACGGCAGATTCCCGGTCAGCCGCGGAAAGCAATGTGTTGGCTTGTTTGTCAATTAGCTGCTCACCTGAGATCTGATCACTGAGTTATTCACTGTCTGACATTAATGAGGCCACATCAGAGAGAATCGCACGTCGTCACTCATAACTGAACTGCTCAGCTAGTTAATCACGATAAGCTAGTCCTCTGTACACCCTCTGATTAAAGGAAGTCACTTGTACTGGTGGGGCGGCTTGTCGTACCGACAAAGGTGAAAGTTCACTGAAGTGTTTCTTGATCTTTAAACAAACTGTCCTCTTGGTTTTGTGAAATCATTCCCACTTTGGCTGAAACCCCCGTTTTCTGTCACACAGACACAATTTTTCTCAGTGCGCTGATTAAAGCCAGCTTATTGGAATATCCCGGATACAGTCATAATTCCATCCTGGACCGAGGGTGTGATCATAAACGGGCAGCACTGTATTTGGCACAGTCCAATAGCTTTGATTTTAGAGACATTCTATGCCAGATGACTATTTTCTTTATGGACATTTCTTTTCTTTCCCCCCACAAGACTAAAATTAATTCGTGTCTATTTCAGCCAATGATTCGTCGGTGCCGCTGTCCCAGCTGCCGCCACAGTGCGGCTACTCTGTCCAGACCACGTGGAGAGACCTCAGTCTGATGGCTCAGTACGATGCCTGCTACGTCACTCAAGAGGTGTGGGATCCTTACAGTATGTTTTCTTTAATATATCGTCTACAGATATACCAACTAGTTTGACCAGCCTGAGTGTCAGATTTGTGAAAAATCCAATAAAATCAGGCTTGTTGTTTGTTTCTGATGCTGGCTGAAGGCGTTTTGCTTCTATCGGAGCTGTGATGAATCATGCATTTCAACTGGGCTCGGAGGAATCATGTCATCCAGAAAAGACTCTCAGGGACTTATTGTTTTATTATTTAATGAGAGAACCTTGTTTCTTAAGCAGAAGACGTGTTTCCTGTGATGGATGTTTGTTTTTTTCACACCAAAAAACAGACACAATATAAAAAAAAAGCTTCTCAAACGTGTTCATTCAGGATGACAGCTATGTGCTGCCTCTGCTGTGGCTGGGGACTCCAGTCAAGATGTCCTGTCCGGTCTCTCGGATCAAACCTCCGACCGCCGGGCCGTCCTCGCTCTGCTGCTCGCCGTACGGCATGACTGTCAAGCTGCAGGGGCCGGCTGCTGCAGAGGAGATGAAGATAGATGGTAAGTTCCACTTTCACTCTGTTGTTTTTTTCCCCCCTGACTTCTAAAATCCAATACGATGGTCGTGTTTTGCATTCTGCCACAGTGAGAGGAGAGTGGACGTCCTTGGCGCTGCTGGTCGAGCAGTGTGGCTACACGATGGAGCAACGGGACGGGGAGATCGTAATCGCTGCTCCGTTCATTACGTGTGGCATCACGGTGAAGGTAAATATGTGAAGTTAAAATAATGGATCAGATTTAAAGACGCTTCACACCATTAGTGATTCATTCGGGTGGTGGTAGCTATGATTGTAGCCACAGCTGCCCTCTGACCACCACCTCAGACAATCCATTCATACTCGTTAGCACCAGGCGAGGTGGTGAAGTGTGATAATGGCACAGGTTACAGGGCGGAATCGAACCGCCGACCTTCCGATCATTGGCCAACCCACTCCACCACCTGAACCACAGCCGCCCAAACCAGCAGTTTTTTTTTTTGCTTCAGTTACATTTTAACTCGCTGGGCGCTCTTTTTTTTTTACAGCAAAATAAATTCCTGCACCACTATGGAAGCAGCCGACCACGACTAGAAGTAGAGAGAACTCAAAAATGTCCAGCGTGAAACGGTTACGATGCTCCAAATCATAAAAATAACCAACGTTTTATTTCTTTAAGTATTTGTCATACAAGTTTTGTGGTGTCACATGATTCTCTCGTGGACCATTACAAAGTTGTCTCTTGTTATTTTCCGTAACGTCTCACCATAACAACCCCTCGTATTTTTTTCTTTTCAGGGTGGAAAATACACACTTTCTCTTCAAATAGGAAAGAAGATCTTCACACTGGCCTGCCCCGTCTCGCCCTCCCTAGAAGTCCCCGTTACCCATCAGCCCCAGGTTGGCGGCGCTCCTCATCTAACCGAGAGGGGGGCAGCAAAGCCAGTGTTAGGCTCTCTGGAGTCTTTTCCGTTGGCCCCGCCCTACTACCTGGCCCCGCCTTACTATCCTCACCCCACATATGACCACAGCTACGCTAGTCCTGAAGTCCACCACTCGTACAATCCTCCTACTCTGACGTCTTTGCCTCCTGAACCCACATTTAGTTCCCAGCCTCTCCCTCCTGCTGACTCCCAGCCAGGCTATCTGGACTTCTACTCCCCCCAGATTCCTCTGAGGATGCCGTACGAACACTTCCACACTTCTCTGACTTCTAGAGAGGAAATGGAGGATTCAAGTCAAGCGTATCCAGGTCAAAAGCAAAACGAAGAAGCTCCTCTCTTGGATCTCTCTGAGAAGCAAAGTGCTACTCCCACAGGCTTTCCAGCTCAGGCCGAAGCTCATCAAATCCAGCCTCCGAGCCTCGATTTCAGCCCATACTACCACTACTACCATCACCCCAAAATCCCTCGTCCCGGCCCACCTCAAGGCCCTGGTCCTGGGCCGGAGGTTTCCGGAGAACAGTCTTTGACTAAGTATCTTGAATTTCCAGTGTTGCCTCCCAACGTCCAGCCGTTTCCTCCACATGTTGCTGGTTCTCATCCTTACACCTTCCCAACAAGTCCTGCGTTTGCTCACATAACCCCGTCACTTAATGCGTCCTACCTGCTACAGCCTTATCTGTACAACTACTTCTACTACTTTCCACACATTGTGACGGCCAACGCCGAGCGATTGGCTGGGCTACATCCAGCTGCAAAGACAAATTCGTCCTTTGCACCCTCACTTCCTCTTTCACCAACGCTTTCAGTCCACGACGAACACAGCTCGAGCCCCTATGCGCACCAGTCGAATGCAGATAAAGCGTTCAACACGGGAACGTACAGCCTGGAATGGATCACACGTCCAGTTTTGCTGGATGACGATAAGAGACTCTCGGCGTCGGTGAGTTCCTCTGTGGAGGTTTCACAGAGTTACCCTCATGGACCGGTTCCTCCGCCTGAACAACCGTCGCTCCCCTCTCCACCCGTCATCTATAATCCTGACCTTTACCAACAGTACTACCAAGCTTACTACGACTACTACCGGACGTATTACGGACCGGAGGGTTTGCTTGGCGCAGCGTCTCCAACAGCCAGAACTCCCGACCCCCTGCTTCAGGCGTTTTCCCCTCCAGCTCAGCAACCATCCAATCACGAACATCCAACCGCCACAGCAGAATCAGTGTATGATGTTCAACGTGAGCTGCTCCGTCCTTACTACTACTACTACCACCACTACTACCAGCCTCAAGCGTCCAAAGACGAGCAGCATCCTACCGTCAGCAATGAAAAAGCCGAATCTGGATCTCTGCATCCCTCAGACTTCGATTTGATGGAGTGGTTATTTAACGCTGCTGAGGCAGGATATTCCAGCATCCCTCTGCCTCCTCACGGTCCCTTCCATGGCCTAGACTCCCATCATTTTACTCATCATCCTCCCTACGATCTGTTTCTGCCGCCTGGTGGAGAAGAAGCGGTGAGAGGTAAATGTTCACATTCAAGCTTTTCACTGTTTGTGTTAAAGGTTCCTGAAAATGTTTAGTCCTTCTGTCGTTCTGTCTTCAGTTAGGTGGGTTTTGGTGCAAGGTTAAGCCCACAATGGTCAGACCAACGCCTCATTTGGACTGTAGTTTAGGTTTTGTTATGGCTTGGCACAAACAAGTGACACATAAGACATGTTGGATGTGTTACTGATACACCTGAACTACTTCTGTGTTGTTGTTTTTTACCCATTTCGCTAAATGCCATGTTCACAATTATTCATAAATTGTCACGTTTTTGGAAAAAAAATAAGCACCTTCTACACCTTGTTTCTGGTAATTCTATCATGTTCTAGATGGTTAGGAATTTCCTAGTCGGTGACTCGTCAGTTGAGCTCGATTTTAGGGTCTCTCACGTAGCTGCTCATGTTTTTATCAAAAAGGACTGTAAAACCTCTCAAAGGGCTGGTAGGAAACCAAACATGGCCCTTAAGCGAGTTGAAATGCTGTGAGAGGCCAAGAAGAATCCAAGGATCACCACAAAGACAATCCTGATGAATTAATCAACTCCAAAACCTCACGAGACACTTCAGTAGACGAGTCTACAGACCGAGGAGGACTTCACACTGAAGCTCACCTGGACAAAGAAGAAAGCTCTTGGTCTTCAGCTCTGTGCTTAAAGAGACGGAGTTGTTTGGACACACAATGTGACTTTTGTTTGAGCTACAGATAGCAGAAGCATTCAAGCCCGAGAAGACAATCTCCACGGTCACACGAGCCGATGTGATGCTCTGGGGGAGTTTTTCAGCTGAAGCGCCGGGCAACCTTGTCAAAGTAAACAGATGGTGAGAAAAGAGAACAACACTGAGATTGTGGAGGAAAAACATCAGGCAGGAGAACCTTGTCCTTGAGCATTGTTGGACGCTCCAACAAGACGACGGTGTGAATCATACGGCCACAGCGGTGAAGGAACGGTCAACAGAAAACAACATGAATGTTCTGGAGAAGTCCAGCCAGAGTCCAAACCTGAATCCATCGAGAATCTGTGGAGGAGCTGAAGACCAGAGCGATGGCAAGGAAGCATTTTTAGTAAAAAAAAAAAAAAAAAAAAGGAAAGAAACTGTTAAAATTCAACCATCCTGTAATCATCTTCCAGCCAGAAGAAACCTCACAGTCAAATGGAAATGAAATCAAATGTTGCCTGAGTCGTATGAGTGTAATGACCTCAGATCACCACAGGGGGGCAGAAAAAGTCCTGACAAGATAAAAGCTGCAGCATCAGGTTCTGGCTGTAACCAGGAAGAGTTCTGGCTGCATTAAATTGATCCAGATTCCCTCCAGTGGAGCTAACTCTGCTCTAGCTGTTTTACTCTCTACATTCAGATCAGTCGGGGGCCTACGTGGACGTTCCCTTCGCCTCACCCTGTGGCCTTGGACCGGCGTCAGAGTTCGACTGCAGCGCCTCTTTGGGCTGTTGTTCGCATTCTGTGAAGGGTGAGTCACTGTCTGGGAAGAAAAGAATCCTGAAAACACTCGTCTGACACACACACAAGTGGCCCGTGTGGAAAATCTGAAACCGGATGAAGAGCAGAAGCTTAGAAGTTAGCTGTAAATGATTGGGCCTGATGTTCTATTTTACAGAAGTTGAAATCAAAGCAGCATCATTCAGGTGTTATTTCTGTGTGTGTGTGTCAGAGCCGACCGACTGCGCCGTGGGCCAGTATTTTGTGTTTGCGGTGCCGGACTCTGTGCTGGATCCCGCCGTGGCCCGTCCGGCTCGGTCCTCTGAGGCCAGCAATGTGTCCTGCACGCTGCAGAGGCTGACCTCCGACCTCGACATCTACGCCGTGCCCCAGGACGGCTGTGGAGTAAACAAACATGTAAGGCACTCTTCTACGTGCAGCACCACAGGCTGCTTTACCGGCGCTGCATGAAGGTCATTAAACTGTAACGCAGCTGAAGGTTTTACCTCCACCTCACTGCTGCAGGAGTCTACAGAGACGTGCATCAGATTTGTGCTTCGTTTTTTTCATTCTTGCCATCGTCTGTGATTATGTTTATCTTTTGTTAGATGTTTGGTGAGACGGTGCTTCATCTTCTGGAAGTCCAGGGTGTCCATTCTTACCAAGACGCCAACTCTGCACACGGGAGCTCACCTGTCAGGTACGAGGCATCGCTGTTTACATGAAGCTTGTGTGCTCTCCTCAGATATTAACGTTATTTCAACAGGGCATGCTTTGTTACTGGTTTATGGTGGATCCCATTTAACTATAAAATCAGACATTTGCATTGCAAACCACCGCGTAGCATTAGCTTTGTGTTGACGTCTTTCTCGTGGCAAACTGCAGGAAAGGCCCTCGCTCAGGACGGGTCGATCACTCGTTCAGCCTCCAGTCTTGCTGCTTACGGCTCTTCCAGTGTCTTTGTCCAGCTGCTCGTCCAAACTGCTTCACACTCGATGCTGACCTCGTTGGTTTGGCAATATGTGAACAATGAAACTCTGCTGAGGGAGAGCGGTGACGCTAACACTTCCTCTAGAGACGGTTATGTTGTTAACCCCATCCCTGTCTCCACAAACCACTGAGTATAATATAGTCTTTTATTGATTGATCTTACAGCTGTTTTGGGTTTTTTTTCAGTAAGTTGATTAACTTATCAACTATTCTTGAAATTATTTTATCATGATTCAATGGACATATCTGATGTTCCTAAAACAAACACCAAAGACTTTCCTCGTTCATATTTCAGCATCTTATTTAATCATCTGATGTCGATGGTAATAATGGATCCTATTGGTCGGATACCTTAAAAACAAAAATAGACAACGAGGTGTTAGACTGTGCGGAAAAATAACAGAGACTGACCTAAATAACTTGGCAGCCCTACATCAGACCAGGTTATGAGCCAAGGCCCGTTTAATCACCACAGACCAGAGCCATCATTGGCCCACTGGTTCCAGTTACAGACAAATTAAATTTTCTTTTGTCCCTGTTGCTATGTCCTTGTTAAATAAGTGATCGGTCTTGTCTTTTCTCTCTTGTTTTTTGTTGTTGTTGTTGTTGCCTGTGTGATTGTGGCAGTCTTGACCGTCTCACGGGGATGTTAAAGATTTTTGAACCTGATCAGAAAAGTCCTGCACCTTAAATTCAAAAGGACACAGATTATTGTCGCCTCTATCTGTCATATCAACCCTTTCTATGAAGCGGGGAATCAGTTTTCCAGCACTTGACCTGAAAACATAATAATCACTGCAAATGTATCACTGAGTGGCAATAAAATGATTTGCACACGTTAAACTAATTTCCTCTGGTGCACGACTGAAATATAAAATGCTAAATAACAGCCAGAGATCTGTATGAGCTCACAGTGTAGCGTTACATTGCTTTAACAGCAGAATTCTCACGCTTCGCATTCAGAGCCCTAAATTAAAGTCATACGACCAACAGAAAAAGTCCCGTCGCCTGTTAGTAATCCTAACAGCTCGAATCAAAACAAAAAGTAAACAGGATGTCTCCGTCTGTGGCTGCGGTCTCCACAAAGCGCTCCGGGACGCTTTCTCTTCAACACTCGTGCCATCAGCTCTTTCCAGTTCGCCGTGCTTGGCTCGCCGTCAAACAAGCTCCCACACGTGAGTGACAGGGGGAGAGGTTTTTCCTTTTAAACGTAGCTCCAAGGAAATTCATGGTTGGACCTGTCATCGTTGGTAATTTATCTCTCAGCCGCAGTTTAGTGGAAGACGTTTCTTGGAACAGGTGAGGAACAGTCGTCTGCTGATGATGCGTTCAGCTAATTACTCACCTGCTTGATTGAAAAACACAAAAGAGGACGCAAATCTTTTTTTTTTTTTATGACCTTCTTTCACATACACACACTTTTTATGTAATCCAGCCAAAGTGATTTATTAACGGGGTCCAGAAATCTCTCAGCTCATCAGCTTTCAGGTGAAGTTGAGCTGCAATTTTTTTTGTATTTTATATTTTTTCATTTACCTCCTCCCTCCGTTGGGTGTGGCATTTTTTCTAATATACCTTCCATATCAGTAAAAGAAAAAGGTTGATGTTTCGTTCCTCCTGCTCCGGTGGCCAACAGGGCCAGCTGTCCTGCCACTGTCCATGTCGGCCAGAGGTTTTTGGGGTGGAAGTAAACTTCTGCCCCGACCACATTTTCATTGTTCCCTTAATATCCACTGGAATCTGTCTGGTTTCAGAATTATTCACGAAACGTTCATGTGCCTCCTCGATCATCTCTTCAAGTGTCTCCTCCTTTTCCTGCCTCCTTCACTGCATGGTTCATCTTCTGAATAATGTCTCCCTCATCATCTGCCTCAATGCTCCGTTCTAATGTTTCACATGAGCTCTGTTTAGTCATCGTTAACTCTCTCCATACTTTCATTCACTCCTTTTCTGCTCCTGATAGTTTTCCAACAACTGATACAATTCTTGTTGAATCCTATCTTTCTCTTCCTGCTCCTTTCGGCTTTGCGCTCCTCTGTCTGTCTCAGCTTCTCTTCTAATTTACTCACTTCTTTCCTCAAGCTTTCTGTCGCCTCCTCTGGTTCTTCCTCCGCTTCTACAAATCCTCCTTTAACATTAAGCAGAGGTGCCTGTAGTCCAGATGATATATTGTAGGGAGGTGCTGGGCTCTGAGGAGTTTCAGCTAATCTCTCCTTTCTCGTCCTCTGAAATGTGAGACGCCATACCAACATGATGCACTCTCCGTCTCTCCTGCTTCAGTTCCTCTGTTTCTTTCTTTAACTTCCTTGGTAAAAACAAACCTGTTGTTCCTTCTCTTTTATCTCATTCAATATCCTTTTTTCTCCTAAAACATCAGCCAGGTCCTGTTCCTCCTCTCCTCTCACTTTCTCTTCTCTCTCCAGCTTCTTCCACAACTTCTCCGTTGCTTTCTTGACATCTTTATGTGCTGATTTATCTAAACCACTCACAACTTGTTTAACTGCCGTCCGCCACTGGTACAGGTTGGTCTCTAGACCACACCCGCCAGATTCTCTATCAAATTCTCCTTCCATTGTTTCTTTTTCTTTTTTCTTTGTTAAATATTTTCTTTTAACAATTTCCCCAAGGTTTTATATGGAAGGGATCAATAAAGTTTTAATCTCTCTATCTCTCTATCGGTCTATCTATCGGTCTATCTATCGGTCTATCTATCGGTCTATCTATCGGTCTATCTCTCTATCTCTCTATCTCTCTATCTCTCTATCTCTCTATCTCTCTATCTCTCTCTCTATCTCTCTCTCTATCTCTCTCTCTA